GTAAAAGATTTTTTTTAACTTTTTTATAAATTTTTTTCAATTATTTTATAAATTAAATGTGCTTAATTAAGCTATCATTTAGAGTCGCCAACCTGAAGACAATGAATACATTGCTGAGAGATGCTGTTGTTATTGTTGAAAAGGTGATAAATGCTGAAAGCAGGAAATTTAAAATGTTTTTTTTCAAATTATGGAATTTATAAAATTCAACGAAATTTTGGCCAGAATAATATTCTCAGGGAAGATAATTATTAATTTAAAATTTCGATAAAAAGTTTAACTTGATTACCTTTATTGTGCAGCACAGAAGACTTGTCACACTGAGCAGTAAAATTTCCATGTTAAATTTTCGAAAGTCAAAGGTGCAATGTAATATTTTAGGCAATGCAGATAATCTAACTTATGCCAAATATAGTTTTATTTGTTTATTGAACGTGAATTAATTTTAAATAGAAATGTTATATTTCAATTGATAGCACGAATGTTTGTGTATGATTTCATATGTTCTGAGTGAATAATACTTTGAATTTCAATCTAATTTCGTTTACTTGAAATTATTTCTATTTTTCATTCATTTACATTAAGGCACGTAAGTCAGTAGATCGTCAAAATGAAGTGAGCACGGCGATCGAAACCGAATTTTTTCGTTTCAGCGATGATATCAATCAGAAATTTAATGAGGTGAGTTGAAGAGTTTGAAAGGCAGGACTGTTGCGTAGAATTATTTTCATTTTTCATTGGTTTTTTGTTATATTTTTCTATTTCTTGCATTTCTTTGTGAAAATATTTGTTGAACTTTTCAATAATTATTCAAATTTAATAAATCTAATAGGTTTAGACAAAAATTTTTGATTCATATAAATCAATTTTTGAATGATTTAATTGAAGCAAATGATTGTATGAAATAACAAATTGTTCCTCATATGATCTCCTCAAATGTTTGCATTCTTAATATTTCATTTAAAAGATAAGATTAAATCATATAAGTCTATCGATCATAATTGGTATAATTATATCCTATCGAAAGTTTTGGTGCACTGTTTGATTGACAATCAGTGACATTGATAATTATAAGCAACAAAGAGATATGCGAGAGACTAATTAAAATTTTTAAATTACTACTGTTCATAACTGCATATGTACACGGAAATTATGCAATGTTTGATAAATGTAAATCAAAAATGATTAAATACACATATTATTAGTAAACATATTAAAATAATTTTAAGATTAACAGACGGCTTAAAATTGGAAATTATTTGATTGAAATCGCGATTGAAATATCCCATTATTTTTTCATTAAATAAAAATTTCATTTGTATTTCAAATTCAGTTATACAATAGAATTTGTAAAATCAAAAAGGATTATAAACATCGAATAGAATTTTTGGAAAGCATGTGCCAACACTACACTGAAAACTTACCGCATCGAAAAAGTGTATTTGCATTTGATGAAATAGAAATTCGACAAAAGTTAAACAAACTTGAATGGGATTTAATTTTTCTTCAAGTAATTACTTTTTTGTATGGTATTTTTTGAATATTCCAAATTTTTTGCTTTTTTAAAAAATTTGAAATTTGGAAAAAAAATTTCGCTTTTTTTGAACAGTTCAATTTTTTTCATTCTACTGCTAAATTTTCATTTTTAAACTTTCTAAAAAACTTAGAGAAAAGCGGAAAAACTTTAATTTTTTTCGCTTTCAATAAAAAAATTAGTCGCAAAAATTTTTCATTCAGTGTGTTGGACGATCACTTATTCAAGCGTCATCATCTTATTTGTCAGAAATTAATTTCGACAATATTGAACAGATGGTTAATCACGCTTAATTAAAATATTATAATTCGAAATTCTGCAAGTGACAATTTTTGTATGCTAAAAAGTGATAGATTTAATAAGAATTTTAAAAGCGAAGTTAATTTTTTCTCTTCTTTGATAAATAAATTATAGCATCATTTTACGCTAAATTTTACAAGTTAGATTTTTTTAAATTAATCAGTATAATAAGTGTGTCCAATTTGCCTCAGTTAGAAATATTTGCAGCTTCATAAAACGAAAAAGCATCTTACTACAATCGATAATATTCTTACCAATAATTATAATGTATCCGTTGCATATGGTTTAACTTTATCACCGGTAAAATTATCTTCATTTAATGTAAAAGAAAACTATTCAATCTCACTTGTTGATTCGTTTTTTTCAGGACTTTTTTCGTCTTTTATTTTCATCTCAATGAAAATAAAATTTGTGAAATATTTGATAATAAATAATATAATCTTTAACAAGTTCTTTTATTATGTTATTTATTTATGATTTAATTGATGCGATATGGAATAAATTACAGGTACCCGCATTTGCACCAAGAAAATCAAGTGATAATAATAAGGTAACTGTTTCCTAAAGGAAGAAAACAGAGACTGTTTCCTAAAAGAAGAAAACTTTTTATTGAAAAGCGGGAAAAGAAACAAAAAATTCTACAAAATCAATGAGAAATATATTGGGCTATGTAATCGAATAAATCAGAGATGCTAACATAATCCAAAACTTTCAATTAAACTTAAATATGATTGAATAATTTGGACAAGAGTTAAACAAATTGTTATATTAAAGGGTATTGGAATCTCTTAATTTAATTAGGAACCTCGTTATAAACAAGAAGATATAATAATAGTTGCATTAAAATGTATTCAAACAGAAAAAGCTACTAAAATAATTATTAATTGAAGTAACAATAATAATTATTATTACTACCCTCTGATACTTGGGGACAAGTATACATGTCTTCAAATTTAAAATGTTATGAAATAAATTATTGTTTGCGCTTTTTCTTCAATAAAAAAAACAATTTATGTTTAATTTTAGTTTACTGAAGTGTTACAATTAGTCTATAATTCGATGGAAAATCTTCAACGATTACCGTGTACAATGGAGGGTATGATTGATGAAGAATATATGGATCAGAGCAGTTTAATGGATGAAGCAACCAAACTTCTTACAATGTGTATTCATATTCAACAAAAAATTGTGGTATATTTTGCTGAGAAAGCAAATTTGATTTTATTTAATCAAATTTGAAAGTTATTTCAGTTTTTTGCTATCTTCTCCTAATCTGATTGATTTCAAAACTTGCAATAATCGACACTGATTACTTCAGAATGCTGAATCAATCAGTACATCAGAAAGAAATAGTATTACCAGCAGCACTCAGGAAGCATCATTAGCAGGTAATTTGTCATTGTGTTAAATGATGTCGAATAAAAATCAAACCTTTCTTTTTTTTTCTTTTACAGACGACAGAATTACCAATGTTACGGATTTGAACAATAGCCGATAATAATTATGAAATCATATTCACTAAATATATTATAATGGATTCCAGAATGAAAATCTTATAAAATTATTCTACAAATTTTTACATTCTAAATTTGTTGAAAAAGCATTCAGTACTCCGATTCATTTGCAGAGAACATCGTAACTCCATCTTAGTAAATATTTTCATGATATTGATGAGATAATTTGGAATATTTAACAAATAAAATGGTAAGCATATAATGACATTCTTTCTCTGCGTACAAAAAAGCGGCATCTTGGAAGTTAAAAAAACTTCATGAAAAAATTAAACTAATCAAACAGGATTTCTATATTATGCAGTCATTTCAACTAAAATGCAATAATGATACAAGCAAAGCGGATATATTAAATTCTTAACTCCCGGGCTAATCTTCAGTTTCTTAATATCATTGCTATATAAACAAATAAGTTAGCATTTGCAAGCATTTTTAATGCTCGAGTCATCTGAACCTTTTCTCTAATGTCATTGGATACTAATGTATAGTGGTGATCTAGGACATTTGAAAAAGTGGACAAACATGGAGTTTTTTTTACCAAACTCAAACTGAAGGCAAAATATTTTATTTAATTCAGAATAATTTAAATATGGTCAAGATTAGTATAGAATTTACAGGAAAAAAATAGTTAAAAATAATAGAATTATATATTTTCAAAATAACACCTGAAAGTAAGTTGGTAGCCAAATGCTACCAACTTACTTCAAATGATTTCTCTCAACAGAAATCAGAGAGGTACATTCAAAATTAAACGTAATGAGAAAACGAACCTCCTAGCTATTTCAACATATTATTTTTTCTAATAATTCAAAATTCATTATTTGAATCATAACATATCCTTCCGATAAACTGAAAATTGATCGCACTCGGTATCTATTACCAAAACAGTCTTTAACATTCTGCATTTACCCTACATATGAAAAAAAACTTTCAAGATTAATAAGTACATGATTTTAAGAAGGGGGAAAAGTTAGCTGGAATGGACGACTATTTACAAAACCGATTAAATTTTAAGTGAAAAAAATTCAACGAATATAAAAAACCCATGTTAATAATGTCATCCAATCATCGTATGAATTCATGTCACTAGAATACATTTCTCATGTCAATTTTGTCGCAGTGCTGCCAAACGTTGTGTTAGCTCATCGTTTTCCGTTGTTGATGTTGAAACTTTACCACCAATTGATGCTGTTGATGGCATTTCCATGTTCAATTCCAAACTGTAATTTTACATTTTCAAACGCAAATGAAACTTTGGATATGCTACAAAAAATATTCGTTTTTTCTTTAGGTTCCAGTGAAAACTACAAATATTCGAAAAACTATGATGCTACATCATCCTCAAAAACTTTCTATCTGTTAACGGTTGTACATCTTTTAATAATTAAACTACGAACATCTTTTATTATCAGATTAATCAAAATGAAGTGGGGAAGGGAGGATACTAGTAATGTTCTACACATCTGATGGAACGAAGAGTCAAAAGTAGAAAAAATAGCATGGAGTTGAATGGCCTAATAAAGCTATGTATATAGCTTCAGTGTATAGTTGTAATTCAAAAAGATCAATAAAGAGGTAACGCAAAGTTCAAATTATTGTAGAACAATCTCTCCAGCTCCTTAAGATAAAAACAGAACGAAATCAAAAGATCAGTAAAAGAGAAAAACATACCCCGCCTTGTCTGCCGCTTCTTGGATTAAGGCATTAACTTGTGCTTGAGGTGCGTTTAACGTTGTTGTGGCTGTCATTGACCCTTCCATTGTGGCAGATTGTACGTCCAAATTTTCGAAATCTTTCTCGAATCGATCCATTAAATTCTGCACTTTCTCCAAATTCATTGAACGTAAAGCGGATTCCATCGCTTTCACAACACCAGACATACTTTGCGTTACACGTTTTTGCGTTGCGGCTGTCTGCAAAATTTACGTTTACAATATGGTAAATAATCCTAAAGCATTTTTAGAAAAAAAATGAATGCATAAATAGTCACTAAGATATTTCGTTTCCTCCGAACCTTCTGAGAATTGAACCGAAGAACGGAAAAAAATGCTATAATATTTTAAACCTTACCAATAATGTGCTATTACATTTGGAAATATATCGTAATCAAATACTGTTAGCCAGCTAATTATTGCAAGCAAAAGCAAAACAAAGACGAAACGAACTTGTACACGTGCTGCTACTGCATCGATTCGTGCCGACATCCTTAAATAATTTAGTGCTTCATTCTTTTTACGTATTGCATTTTCAGCGTGGACCTGCGCTACTTCCATATTACCTTTCTATAATGAGATGCCAATAACTTAATAGAAAGAACTTCTTGTCGGTTAAAAATGTCATGCAAAATCAAATCGGTCAAATCAAAGCGTGCATGAAATGCCAACATTTTATTCGCTTATTTAAACCATAACTTAATTATAAAAAAAATGCTATAAGAAAAAGATGTAGAAAAAGACCTTTATTGCATTCGTTAACTTTGTCTTCTCTGCTTTTTCTTCTTTTTCGCATTTTTTCGAGTTTCGTTGCAGTTCTTTCGAAGCAAACTTCAAATTGAAAAGGTGATCTAAAAGTTCTGTGAAAAATTTAATGCAATTCAACAAAATGTTATAAGTATACGGCAATAACTACTGAGTAAACTCACTGATGAATAAGTGGGCGGATCTTGACTATGATGCAAAAATAAAAAGAAACCACAGTACAAGAACAATGCAAAGTCGAAGACTTTGCTTATTCACCTTTTTAAACTGAGAAAAAAAAACGCACAAATACTACAAAACATTTGGATATGACAAAATTTTAATTTACGGATATAATATGAATAAACCTTACTATCTAATGACATCCTATGGTTTGTCGACAGTATGAAACTGCTAAACTGCTACGTTAGAATCCGGAATCCGTTGTATCTGAAGTTACTTATAATTTTATCGATTTGAAAACAAGAATGAAGAAAAAGCAAAGGTCAAACATGTATCCCATCTCTAAGCCTGAGGATATTACCTTCAGTTCGCGTCTCAGTTCACCCGAGAAAACCACGACAATAAATTTTAATCAAAGCAGTGAGCGTACATTATTTAGCGGCCCGTGATCGATATTCGAGAGCTTCATGCAACTTTTCTTCTCAAATTCATGTTATTGCTTGGGATATTGGCCTGTTTAGTTCATTTTGCACTGCAATTAAACAAATTACTAAGTAAGCAATGAATTAATTGATCATATAAGTAAATAAATAAAAAGAAATCAAAAATATATGCGAACATGTAACCATAAAAAATAATGAATATATAAATGCACAAATAATACATGCGAAAAAAGTTTACCATGTATATATTACAATTCCACTTACCCATTTTTTTTGTCTTTACCCTTATTTTTATTTTTTTTTTTTAAATGGGCGAACATTTTATCACTCCCATAAGTGGATTATTTTAGTTGAGACAGTCATAAGTTGCTTAGTTATGTCAAATTTTGCTAACATTATATTTTTGTTTAAAAATTTATTCAATTTAACATACGAACATTGCTATTTCTTTCAAATCATAATAGAAAAAGAAATTATAAGTGATAAAAATGAATGGGAAGAGAAGGAAGAACAAAAATTATTTTAGTTTAAAGGAAAGTAAAAAAAAGCCATTAGCGTGTTGAAAAAGGTAGTAACATCCAACTAAGAGAGAGAAAATGATTAAATGATATTAAATTTCAATCGCTGTTTCCTTCAACGAAACGCACAAAAGAAAAGGACAAATTCTCGAATGTTTGAATAAATGTATCACTAATTGAAATTATTAACGATCGAACGGAAAATTCGCCTGCATTTGCCGTTTACTTCAAATATTATATGTTGTACATGTAATTGACAGTGCTCTCTGTTTTTGTGTGACAGTTTCTCTTCCATTGAAATTGTCATCAATTTTTTCCCATCAAGGTAAATTCTGTCTCTCTGTAGTTCATCTATCATTATAATCAATAATGATCAGTATTGTAATGAAATTAACTTATTAGAATGAATATAACAATGATCTCGGATGTATATCGAAATTATTGCAAATATGCTTAATTATATTTTTTATATTTTAACGAAATTTTTATTGTTATAGGATATGGAAAGATCGCTGACAATAGTATCAGTAATAAAAATTATACTAATAAACAATAGTGATTGCAACAATAATTATTATTCAGTGTAATACTACTTCAATTTTGCTAATGTTGATTATATGCCATAAATAACTATATCAATCCTAAAGTTTGTTATCTTTACTTGCTGTCGTTATCACGTTCATGGCGTTAATTATGTGCAAAAGCGTATTTTCTTTTGCTGTTTTTTCTTACATTGAGATTTGTTAAAAGTCTGATGTAATGCTCGTACTCTTCAAGAAAAATAAACATCGATTATCATTAACTGCCGCAATCGGTCTTTTATCAGTTAGTTTCGATATCGTCATAAATGACATGTCGTAAAAATTCAATGCGCAAATTTGATGATAGCATTTCAATAAGAGAAATATTTTATTCTCTAAATGATACGTATATATCATTTTACTTTTGCAGGTATCAACAATAAGTGCATATATAACTTTGCGGATTTTTATGCAAAATAAAAGTTATCAACTGATTGTTTATTGTTTAATTTATTTGTTTACTATTGATGAAGTAATTATAATTAATCATATATGGAAAATTTATCAAAGGCGGTTGTGTGTGATAGCATACTAAACATCATTTATGATAGTTATTTCGTTCATTTTTTTGTTCTTCAAATATATATCAGTTTACTTTGTACAGAGTATTTAAATGTTCATTAATTAATTCGTTTTTTTTTCTTGCTTTTTAGACTGAATAAGTTGCAAAATCTATGAATTAATTTCTTGGCATGTTCTGTTAATGTTTAGATTGTTCAGTTTTTTTGACTTCAAATTGAAAAAAAATTTTACGCTTAATCAATAATTTCTTATGAGAAGTGTAGTATCAATTTGGCATATATGAAGGAACGCTGAGGTCAGTTGGTGGGAGGTAAACACATGGAGAGCTAAGGTCGATTAGCATCCGTATAAAAACCAAAGGTTAGTTTGTACATCTCAAAAAAGTGGGGGGGAAGGTCAGTTTAACATATATACAGAGCGATGGTCAGTATGATGTTCTGATAGCTTTCCTGTGCTTTAACTTTTCTTTTGATGAGTGAGAGATACCGATAGTAATTTTTTGAAAAGTTAAATTTCTTAAATTGCTATTGGTTTCTTGTCTTTTGCTGAACTTCAGATTATATTAGACATATCCCTTATAATTGTTTAAGAGATAAACTATAATTGGAAATATATGTGTGGATTGCGTGAAGTATGTGCGATCAATGATGCACGTATGCTGGTTACACGTAATATGGTCGTAATGTTCACTTAATATTACTGGTAACATAAACTAAACATAAATTTGGTGAAAGTAAAATCATATGCATTCTATTTAATTTCAATCTAAGAGAACTTCGAAAACTACAAAATGATGTAATGAGACTAGCTATTTGATATTCTGACCTTAATTTTAAACTGAAAAAAATATCGAATTTAATCAATAACTCCTTCGCTTTGTGTGAAGGAGCGCGAAGGTCGTTTTCCGCGAAGGTCGCATCCGATGGCAAATGAAAGTCGTCATCAGTATAACATTCCGTTGACCTCCTGCACTGTGATCCCTTCATTGTGCTTTTGCCCTCATTTATTTGTCCTTCCAAGAATCTTGGAAATTGGAGTAAGACATAGCGGAACACAGTTTTCGGGATCGTCTTTCAGACGAACGACATATATTCATTAATTTTAATTCAGTAAAACTCTAAAATATGTAAACCAATTCGAAAAAATAAAAAAGTTTCGACTCTATTTAATTTTTCTATTATTCCTAGTTTCAATTATTTTATTTCATTTTTTTATTTTCGCTTTCTTCATTTGTAAATTTAATTTTTATTATTAGAACCACCATTGTTTATTATTATTATTATTACTATA